ATTTTAGTGGTAGATATAAAGTTTGGACTTTTTTTGGCCCATCCACTCTCAGCCAGTGGGTGCAGGCAACTGTTGGCGGAACCACCTCCTGTTAATATGGCATGGTTGCTGCCTTGCTAGTCCGGACATGAAGTCGGACAGTCATTGCTGTTGTGCTTATCGATGATTTTTCACGAGCAAAAGGAACCCGATCTCCGAATCAGTCTGGCCTCCCGTACCCCCAAACATGTTCTCAGTGGTTTGCTTTTGGCTGGTGAGTTCAAGCAAGTCAGCATGCAGGTGTGCCGTGACATGCCTCTCAACTTTCTGGTTTCTGACCCGTCGGACATATTACCAGCATGGCAGTGGGAGGCCTGAGGGCACTTCCAAACCTGAGGAAACTATCCAAATGATCCATGCGTGAGCAGCATTGTTTGTTGCTCACAAGCGGTTTTGGAACTATAGGCAACCTGTTTCTATGTTGTTTGTTGAGGTTTTTTAAGATCGGGCTTGGAGCTCCCTTCAAAAATCCCTGAGTTCTTGCACTTTACACCTTTTGGGCGGACCGTTTTCGCAATCAACACGCTTTCTGGGCCAATCCACTGGGGGGGAGGGTGAGAAGCCAGGCCCACTCGGTGGTGCTTCGCGTACCTTGGGTGCTGGCCTCAAGCAGATCGCTTGCGACCCCCTTGGTTGAATGAATGGCCTGTGTTAAGGGACAGTCCCAGGCAAACACAGGTGCGGATATATGCCCTTTTTGCTGGCTTACATGGGTTTGGGCAATGGGAAAATGGCTCATTTTGAGAGATGGGGGCGTGCCCCTGTGTGGACTCAGACCACTTTTGGAGGGGAACCCCCCCCCCCCCGATTACAGAGGAGATTGCTCCCAAAAAAGACGGTTTTCGGAGAGTAGATTTTTGAGGGCCCAAGCTGTAGTGCGCCTTGAGATGAAATATGTTGTTTTGCACCTGAGAGTACACCCCGGGTGGGGGGGGGGGAGGGCATAGCAGTGCATGACCTCAGTTTTTCCGCATAAGGTTTCACGTGGAATTAACAAACCAAGACAACCTCTCGGAAGTCTTTGCATTTTCTGTAATTGGGTATTCTCCGCTCAGCATCATATTGATCATCTTAACCCTGGGTTCCCAATTTGGGGGAGCAACTACATGGCTGCAATGTGGTTTTACTGAACAAGGTCAATTGATTGGATTCCGTCTAAGTGAAAGTTTGCATGGCGCTGCAGCGGATGGATGCACGTTCTGGACCTAAGAGAGGTGAAACTACCGAAGATACTGAAGGCAGATACTGCAGAGTGCGAATGGAGGATTTGCAAGGAAAACTTCCATTTGCTTCAGATTGGTTTTGCATTTTTCCTTGTTGGTTTTAAATGGAACTTATCGCCACTGGAGGCATGTCATCTTTTGCCGAGGGGGCTTAGCAAAAGGAAGCTCAGGACGCGGAGTCTGTGCCCGGATAAGCCGACGGGGAATGGGATGAGAGGCAAGTTTTTTTTTTTAGGCGGGCTTGTTTTTCCGCGCGCGCGAGAACTCTTCCACTCATGCGACGCCTCTGGTGCCAACGAATCTCGTTTTGCGCAGCACCAACCCATCCACGGCCAGCATTGAAGTGAGAACTCCGGCTCCTCCACATCAGTTCTCCAAACAACCAACCCACAAGTGTTCTGTTAATTGGAAAAAACTGGAAACAAGTGGAAACCATAGACAGCATAGAATGATGATTCCCCTGTAAATGCCAACAAAACAGTGGTTTCCACCATAGGTTTTACAGTGGTGCGAACGGATGTCGCAACCATGCACAGGGCTACGATGTTTGAATTTCCATTTTTTCCATGTTGGTTCCAATTCGTCTCCCCACAAAAGACGAGCCTCGGCAAAGGTCGTGGTCGGAGAACCAAAGGCTAGGTCCCCCAGTAGTGCCCTTTCACCTTCTCCTTTTTGGGGGAGGGTTCCCCTACTAAAATAGACGAATCAGAAAAAAAGTTGGTAGCCTTATTCTAACCTCTCAAATCTGGAGGACCTAGAAACCATCCACTTTGACTTCCTTTCAGGGAATCCCTTCATTCCCAACCCGGCGGTCCTTTGTCTGGGTCGTTCCCCTTGCCCCAGCCTGGGGGGAAACCTCCTCGAAGGCCGAGCTCTGGGAACTCCAAAGGTCTCCTTGGCGTTTTGCAATCGCCGGAGGCTTCTGCTCGTTTGGTTTTTCCTTTCTCCCTTTGGTTTCAGGGGGGGGAGGTGGCGCCTATTTTTTCCTTTCTCCCTTTGGTTTCAGGAGAAGGTGATAACCTATGGTTGCCGCCCTATCCCCGGCATCGTAGCTGAGTCCTTTGGGCGGCCTTTCGATTCTTTTTTTTTCCTTTCCGAGGCCTTTGCCGGCTCCTCGGTCCGAGCGATCGATCCCGGTCCGGGAAGCCAGGCATTCGGTTCCAGACAGCTTTTCAGCTTCTTGTGGAGCAAAAGATCAGCCCTCCCCCCTTTTCCCAGACGCCCCCCTTTTTCCCACGTCCCACTTGGTGGGAACCCCAGCCACCCAGGTGTGTAGCTTCTTGGCTCAGTGGTCGTTTCCATTTGTCTCACGGTCGACCTTTTCGCGGATCTGAGGCCAGCCCAGTTTAGGAGCTTTAAACTGCTCGGGGAGCTTTCAGTTTTTTTCCCTTGCGCCCAAGTTTGCGAGTTGGACTCTGAACGCTTTTTTTTTGGGTTTGGCCAGTTTAGCCAAAGACTAAACCGAGCTAAAAGCGAGTTGCCAGAAGCTTTTTGGGCTTGGGGTTGGTAAACGACCAGTTTGGTCGAAGTTTCTCGCCTCGTTCACTCGTTCACTGGCTCGGAAGTGAGCGTCTTGTTAATGATCGAAAGGATGGCAGAAAACCCGAAAATCCCTACCCCTAGGTTGCATTTTCTAGGCCACCAGCGATTGGTGCCAACTTTTACATGTTATTTTTTGGTTGGGAGGGTTCCCCTACTAACATAGACGAATCAGAAAAAAGTTGGTAGCCTCATTCTAACCTCTCTACTGGAGGACCTAGTTTGTATGATTTTTGGGGTAACGGATTTCTTTAGACTCTAAAACATGTTGGACAAATCATGCGGGTTTCTCAATCTAACCCGCAAAACGAGAGGGACAAATGCGGTTTGCAGAGTGGTCTCGCCGGCCACCAAGAGAAGGGAACTCGAAAACTAAGTCGGTCACGCAATTTGAGGGAGGCGGGGAGCGGGCACTAAGGCCAACACTCCCATGGTGTGTCTTCTTTTGGGGGACAAGAGAATTGGCTTCAGTTTTCCTCCTGGTTTGATTTCAATCCTACAAAGATAGGACGGACGGAGAACCACAATGCATTGGGTGGGTTACACCAGTCGTCTATCCTAGGTGCAGGAGTTTGTTCAGTAGTAGCTGCCTAGTTCGCGTGGTTCACTGTTGCTTTAGGAAAGAACTTGGGGGGGCCAACCAAGTTCTCCCATGTCCTCTTGGGGAAACAAGGGGATGTTGAGCGCTATAAAATCAAGATGAATCAAATTACGTCATGACAGGACACTTTGAGCCCATTTTCAGGCCAGGCAACGGCCAAAGTCTGGGCAAGTGGACGATGACACGTGAGAGTCTCATTTGTGATTCCGCAAATGACAAGACGAAGGTGAGGCACCAAACACATCGTCAAACCTAGTCTTCTTCACTGCCAGACTTAGCTTGCCTTTTTAACTTTCTGCCTATTTGGGTTACCATCATGTTGTACCATTTACCCCGCAAACCGTTTAATGTTGTGCACGGGGTCTAAGTTTGGTCAAGTCATAAGGAAGTGGAACAGAACTGCAAGGTACAAACTTATCCATGGCCGTCCGTTTTGCGATGGGTATGTGTTAAGATGCTTGATTTCCCTTTAAACCCGAAGTGGGGAAGAGTACCCGCCAAAAACGCATAGTGTCATACATATATATATATATATATGTATGCAGGGGCAATATAGATCGAGCTCACCTGGCGGTTAACCGAACTCACCCATGGTCAGGTTGCACGGCTGAAAGTCCTTTGCGGCGGGGTTCGCTTGTTTCCTTTCGGAATTGTGGTGATTTGCCCAGATAGACGACATTTGCAGTTTAACTTTGTGAGGTTGATAGTGTTCTGCTGCTTGACGCGGCATTCGCTGAGGAGCTTCGTCCAGATAGTGCGCCGTGGGTCACGGAAAGACAACGCGAGGTACCCAGTCTAGGTCCCCAAGTAGTGCCCTTTTAGCCAATCGGGTACCAACTTATTCTAACCTCTCAAATCTGGAGGACCTAGCAGTTGTTCAGTGGCACCCTTGTTCTCTCCTTGTTTGGTGGGTTCCCTCTCCTTGTTTGGTGGGTCAGTGGGCAACTGCCAGCTTTGTGCAATCAGAGATGAAGACCAGCCATGATTGTCGTCTAGGACTGGATGCACGGGTGGGTTTGCGCGCCACTGAATTGGCAACATGTGGTGAGAATGATATTTTCGCTGGTGTGCCTAGACATATGTTACAAAGCCAGGTGAAAAAACATGATGGTAAGGGAGAGCCGTAGGTTGCCACCTTGTTGGATTTCTTGGGTTGGAGGCAGATGTTTCATCAGATTTTGTGATTGGAAGAAACTCACGTTTCTTCCCATCTTCCATTTGCTTAAGAATATGTTCTGCGTGGTGGTTTCAAAAGGAATCTATTACCACTGGGCTTTTTTCAGGGTTTTTGATCAAATGGCTGTGGGTCAAAACCAATGGTACCATTTTGGGGTAGGTGCACCACCCATTTTAGAACCCATTTTAGTGGTTGGATTGGGATGTTCACTGGGGGTACGATTTGGATTTTGACCCATGGCATATGTGTCAAACTAGGGGGACCCGCAACATGGTTGGTCCTTTTGTGAGAAAAACGGGTACCAACTCAAAAGAACACACACACAAAATAACCACCTGGAGTCTCCTTCCGACCCGGCCAAAATGGAGGTCATTGATATTTCATTGCTTTGCTTGCCACAGCCGCGGTTTCCCTGCAACTGGGCTCAGCTCTAGCGCCGAAGCCTTGGGCTGAATGCCCAAGATGCTGCTTAGCGGCAGAAGAGCTCGCTTGCTGTTTTTCCTTTTAGCAAAAGAGAGAATCTAGACCCTTTGTTTGTGTATTGTGTTGTGTCGTTTTTTTTTTGCGGCGCCCGGTCTTATTTTTTATAGTTTTTTTTCGGTGCAAGGCTTTCTCTTCCACCGCAAAACTCCGACTCCAGTTCGGGTCTCGGAACCGGAGTGATATGGGTGGCTCGTCTGGGGAATGAGGGCACCCCTTTGTTCACTTGGCCAAAGCGACTCGACCTTTTGGACCTTTTGGCTTCTTCTTTGTCCATGCTGTGGTCTGGCACCAGAAGGTCAACCTTTTGTTTCTGGGTCCTTTGCGCAACTGAGTTTCTGAGTAGTTTCAACTTTGGCAACCGAAAGGAAGCCCGAAATGAATTTTGGGGTCCCCTGAAAAGCACATCCATATGGGCGTATATGGGCGTACATGGGCGTATTTGGGTGTAAGGGTATGTTTCAACATAAGATGACCCATACATGCGGGATGTTCATGTTGTTTTCGTTTAGGCCAAGGCCCATATTTGTAAAGGTCTCAGAAAAATAGGCACCCAATTATGATGTAGTTTAGTTTTATAATGCCTTACAGCCCCAGTCTGATTATTCAGGGACTTACAATGCCCGTCTAATTTCCGTTTCTTTGCGGGAGTTTCTTTGTTGTAGACTCTCAATCCAAGACGAATCAGGTACAAGTGTTGAGCGTAAGGAGCATCGTATACCCCCTCCATGAGGGGTACGGTCCTGTCAAGGAAGTATCGGCCAACAACCAATCCTGAACATGCCCAACGCAATCATTTGCAGGCCCAGCGGCGAAACATGACTGACAATGTTTCACAGTGTTGAAGTCCAATTTGCAAATCTTCTGAGTCTCGATGGCCAACCCAATGCAATTTGAGAATAGGGGCTGCTGTTCTGCTTGTCCTTGTCTACATGTGACACCGTACTCATCATAGCAGCAGTTGCAAAATTTGGATAGTTTTTGTTTTTTTTGTCCGATGGTACCCTGGTTTGTAAGGGAAACAGCAACAGCAAACCTGCAATTAGGTTGGTCCACCTATTTAAGACACACCCAAATAGAGAGCCCCAAGAATGATTTCCGATTCGGCAGCTTGCCTATGGCCCATATCAAAAGCTGAGGGCGTATAGGCATGGGAATCCATTTTAGAGCCCAAACGGGGGCTGGTGTCTCAAATCAAGCCAACACCGAGTAATTGACCCATAAACAAAACGGGGTTCCTACCAGGGGTTCATGTATGGGCGAAAAAAGTATCAGCCGAAGCTGGAGGTAGCCGAAGCAGGAGCTTGGCATGTGTCAAAACTACTCGCGCTGGTTACTATTGAAATCAATGGCTCACTCCCCGAGTAAAGAAGGGGTTTGCCTGAGTAGGATTTCTGCGCATTGTGGGCAGGCATGGGCAGGCCCTCAAAAAGAAGCTCAGCAAGAATTGGATCTTCCTTTTTGGTGTTTGTTTTTGAGGGAAGCACAGGTAAACTGCGCGTTGTATTTTCCCACTTCGTTTTTCACGTGTCATGATTTTGTGGGGGGAAATCTGGAGCACTCGCGCAAAATCGGATTTCGTGAGTCTCTGAGGCGCTTGTTGGCCTTCTTGGTCTTGAGGGCTTTGGCTGAAGAAGCCTGCGTGCGGGGTCCCGGCAGACTTTCCGAATCGGTTCAATATGGAGAACCAACCTGAGAAATGCAACCCCAAGCAACACACACACACAAGATTCGAAATCTTTAGAGGGTCACTACCCTTCGCATATGGTTTTGGGGTGTATCAAGACCTCAACTATCTTAGGTAACCAAGGGAGGGCAGCCGAGTCTCCCAGTGACTGATTTCTGACTTGACTCGGGAATGGGCACTCCCCAGGCTCCCAGCCGTCAGGTTTTAGGTTTGTAGGGCTTAGTGGGGGGTTTTCCTTTAACCCCTCACTTCCTGAGTTCATGAACTTTAAACTTTTTGGGAAGACCAGTTTAGTGGTAAATATAAAGTTTGAACTTTTTTTGGGCCATCCACTCAGCAAGTGAGACCCACTAAAAGTTAGTCACTTTTAGTAGATCTGAGGACACTCGAAGGCTAGAGTCCTTCCATCTGCCATTCGTTTCTCCTGCAAGTTGACACGGAACCCCAAAACCACTCGCTCTGAAAGGAATCTGCTTTGGGGGAACCTTCAGTTTTGTAGGGGAATAGCAGGGAGAGGAAAAAGGTTAGACTCATGTTGAACCCAGACTAATCAACCTCAGTTTATTTCTATGGGGGATGGGGGCCCCAAAAGTGGTCCGATTCCCCACAAGCAACGGCCAAAAAAATCCACTGGGGTGGATGAATATGGGGTCCACATTATTCCCAGGGTCAAGGGACCCCTGGCAGCTCTCGCCTAAATCCCTGGCATCCCCAAAATCCGCCAATGTTGCCCAGATCGGTGGCATCTGGGGATTTCCCCCAACGCCGGCAGAGGTCGGGCAAATCAGATGGCCCCGGTCTAGTGGCTTGATTTCTGGGGGGTCTTTGGGGTGCCCCTGAGAATCATCTTGCCTCTTAAAAACACATGTTTTCTCAACTTTTTGGGTAACATGGGCGAAAAATGTCTGTACAAGATGAACACTTCCCCAGGGCTTGGAGTTTTAAGGGGTAAGTCATGGGAAGATTGAGTTTCGGTCAAGATGTCCAGTCTGTAAAGCAGTTAAACTGGGCAGAGATGAGAAATTGGCCTTGGGCCATGTAAGCCAAAGAGGGTATAGGTTGAACTACCAAACAAGATATAGGAAACTATGCCATGGCTAAAAGGCAAAAAGATGTCCAGTCTATGATCCATTTGGGGACGAGAAGAGGCCGGGCTCCGGAAGCAAGCAACTTTGATCGGCCGTACACTTCTATCATATGTTTTGTTTTTGCTTTTTTTGTGAGAGTACCTTTGTTGGATGGGTTTTAAACGGACACGAAAAGGAACCATGCACATTTTGAGGGTTACCCTATTTTGAGACAAACCCATATACATTCATCCGCCATGATCATGACAGCGTAGTAGCTGGTTTGCTTATTATACCGGTGTTTGATTTGCTTAGGAAGTTCATATTGTTCGCAGTGCTAGAAAAAAACTCGTCATGCGCAGACACAAGATCCGACCAAAGGCCTTGGACAGTGAAATCATTTGTATCAAGAGGTACAAAATGTCTTGTAAATGGTAACTACCCATGAATATCAAGGATTCATGCATTTTCCCTTTTGCCCCAGGATACTGTAGCGCGAGGTCGGCGCCGTGTACTCCTTCGTGTAGACACGACGCACATGTCCAGACCTACCCGCTCACGCATGTTCCGGTTATATCAAACTGGCTTTCACGACGTTTTGGATTATTCTAAGGTATGTTGAGGTTCCTGGAATGTTGGAACCAGCGTTTGCGCACGCGTGCAACCCGCGCTAGCAAAGATTGCCCAGGCCACCTGTCGCCCGCGTGCACTCTCGACGTCATGTGTTCAGAACAAGGTCCGAAGATCAAATGGAGAAGACCGGCAAACCGGTCCGGCGCACTTTCGGAGGCTGCAGAAATGCCCACCATAGCGGGACCAGCTTCCGGAGCTGGCCTGAGCGACATATGCCGAACTGCGCGTTGGACGCATAGAGAAGCAACTCACCTGGATCGCCAGTTGCTACTTTTTTCCATCCACTTTACCCGAAAAAGCCAGCAACAAAGACTGAGCAAAAAGAGCGTCTTGGCTATCCAGACATGTTCTGTTCTTTTAAGGCAGCGCCCCATGGAATGCGCTTGCGCGGCATGCGCGGCATGCGCGGCCGCTTGGGATTGAGAGCATTGGTAGCAGTTGCGTGTTGGCATGGATGCGTTTTTTGGAGCGGAATTTGCATAGGGGTGTTTCCAAGGGAAACCAAAACTAGGTCCCCCAGCTAGGCGCCCTTCTCTCCCCTTTTTTGGGGGAGGGTTTCCCCTACTAAAATAGACTTTTCAGAAACAAAATCGGGTGCCAACATATTCTAACCTCTCAAATCTGGAGGACCTAGAAAAAGGAAACCACCGGCAACTGGGGGGTCTCCCGATTTTGAACCGAACTCACCATGTGTTTGCGCCAGGAGCCTGATGCGGATGCTTTGGTCCAGCCCCTTGGCGAGGAAAACCCACGGTTTCCTCCTGGCGGTTCTCAGCCGTCCGGCTCGCGGTGCCTTCGGTTTTTAGAGTTGTTAGTTGGTTTTAGTGGGTTGTTTAGTGGGTTTAGTGGTTTAGTGGTTCCTTAGGTGTTTTAGAGTTATTAGTTGGTTTAGTGGGTTGTTGTTCATTTAACCCGCTAAAAGTGAGTCACTTTTCGCAGGGCACACTGGAATTGTTCGTGGATGTGTCTGTTTCGCTTTGTTCCAGTTTGTTCCAATTTGCCCTGTTCAGTGCTTGCCGGGGGCAAGGGGGTTTGCGACCTCATCAACAACGCTCCTGTGCTGGGGTCCCTTATTGTTGACCCTGGATGAACAAATCCCTGTTTATTGATATGGGGGTGTCCCTGGTTGTAGGGATTGATTTCTCCGGGGTCAACATTACTTCAGGATGCTGAGATCATAAGTAGCCCGCAAGTGATGAAACACTGCCCCAAACATGTCTCAGCATTGCCAGCCTGCAGGGCCGAATCAGCCTGCCTGCTGAACCGGCTTTGCCCAAATGACACGGCCAGAGATTTCACCCAGCAAAGAGGGCTGTTGCTTGCAAGTATGGCAAAACATTTGTTTAGCGTGCCTTTTTGCTTTGCTGAACCTTTTTTTCTAGCTTGCTCAAAACCTAAACTCCAATGATTAGTGGATCGCAAATTATACCGGTTAGATCATGCGGCTTGCGGATTGCAAGTTGTGGGTTGCGTGCATGTTCGATTCTCCTACACGAGGTTTTGACCCTCAATTTGCAGCGCGGATTACGGATTCAGAAGATTACCAACCAGCACGGGGGTTGGGCAGATGACGGATTGTGATCAGGCCCCCGGGATTTTGAACAGGCTAGTTTTGCCAATAGAACGGGGAGACCACGTCGTAGGTGTGAGTGAACTGAGGACGTTGACGCACAAGGCGCGCGAGAGAAGCTGGATTGGACCTGTCACCTTAAGCTTGTTTCAAGCCTCACCCCCAGAGTTCATGGACTTTGGTCCCCTTTTTGGGTTCTGAAGCAGATGACACATTGAGAATCTGAGCTCCAACTCTATGTCTCAGCTACAAGCTGCATCAACAACCAAACGGAAACAGAGGTCTGGGCAAATTGAATGGCCATAGGTCATAACCTATGCCTCCATGTTGGGGCGGATGAACACCCATGTACCACCGTTTTTTTGAGGTTTCCCAAGGGTACAGGGTTTTGACCCACAGCCAAATGGCAAACGAAAAGCCCGGTCACTTTTTTGGGGGCGGAACTCCTTGGTTTCGAACTTTGAGTTGGAACCGTCAGTGGTGGACATGGATGTGTAGAAGTCCCCAGAAGTCACACCCAGAGACGCCTCAACTCGTGGAAAAAGCTGTTCGACCCCCCTTCCTTCCACTTGCTGAAAAGAATATAAGTTTCATTGTTCCATGTTGGTTTTAAAGAATACCATGACTCAGTCAAAGCCGTATGCAGGTCCAAGCCTCGCACGATTTTCGACGCGAGGTTTGGACATGTGCTCCGGCACTCGTTGGTCACCTGGGGGTGTCTATTTTCAGGCTTGGACCCACCAAAAAAGATTTCGGTGTTCCTTATTGTGTCCCTTGGCCACAAGAATAGAGGCCACAAACAAAATCTCAAAAAGACTCCCCCCCCCCCCCCAGGTAGAGTTGGTTTGGCATGGTTTGGTCAATTTTGTGAATGGCTTTTGAGGGCAAATGGGAGCCCCACCAGAGGGAAGCTGAAGGGTCCATACCTTACTCCCCAAGTTGTGTGTCGGACTTTAGGCACTTTTGGGGTATGGGTGTTGCTCAAATAAACAGCTGGGGGGGGGGGGCAAGTCATCTACCAAGATGCCATTTTGAGAACCATTTTTTGAGCCACAGCCCGGATGGACTTGTTCTGGTCAATCCACATAGGAAGTGAGCTAGCCTAGGCTTGGGAGATGCGAGAGATGGCCACAGCTTGGCCCATGAGCGCCCTAGCACCAGGTGGTTTTACCAGCTGGTCGGATTGGGAGTCTCTTCACTGTTGTTGGTGTGATATGTTTCTTGAATTGTTTTTTGGTTGGTTGGTTCTTTGTTTATTTTTAGCAGGGGGCTGAAAAGTGTTTTTTCGCTACTGCCAAGGGTTGGAAAGGTACACACCTTGTAGCCATGTCACCAAGCGTCAACACCACTAAAATGGATCTAAGATGGCCAACCTACCTACCCCAGGGTTGGGATAACCACCCATAAAAGAGGTATGCCCTAAAACCCCTGAAGGCTTGGTGGTTTGGGGTATTGGTTTGAGAATGGAGAATCCCGCCCAGAGAATCCCTCGAATGATTGCACTAATAAGCAACCTGCCAGGGTTTACCTTTTCATTTCCATGTTCGTCAAACATGACGTGAACCACACAAAGGACGTTTCCACCTTTACTGGGTGTAGATACCCATTTCTTCCAATACTCATAGTGGCCAGGAGACGTGTACAGGCTTTGTCCAAACACCTTGCCAGAGTGCAACCCAGTTTGTTCCTCAACTTGGCTTGTTCATGTCCCATTTGTCCAAAGCTTGTTCAAGTTCCTCCACTTTTAGTGCAACCCAGTGACTCGATGTTGAGGTCAGCTTTGAGCTGTGCCACGAATCAAGCGCCCTTGAAATGCTCCCTGCAGGTTGCGACGAACGCCTCAGTGGCATCGCACAGCTCAAGCAGTTTGGACTGCTCTAGCCACTGGGCAGCTATGGGTATGGAGCCATTTTATGTAGTGTTGCACACCTGAAACGGCCAGCACCGTTTTAACTACTCTAGGTCCCCCAGTAATGCCCGTTAACCAACTTTTTTTGGGCAGGGTTCCTCTACTAAAATAGACGAGAGAAAAAGTTGGTGCCCTTATTCTAACCTCTCTATTGGAGGAGCTAATTACTTTGCACCCATCGCCAGTTATAACAGGCCGGGTTTTGGAGGGCATTTTTCCTCAAAGGATGCCGGAGAGGAGGTTGCCAGACCTTTGCTTCATTGGAGGATCCTCTCAGAGGCGGTCAATAGCGAGCTTGGGGGGGGGGGGAGGGGGGGGGGGGGGGGGGGGGGGCGGTCAACAGGGAGCCCAGCTTGAACTCCTTGAAATGCATGGATATATAGCAAACATTTCTACCATTCTTTGGACACACGTGAACTCCGTGCAACGATCGGTTTTTCCAGCCGGTTTTCGGCTTAGAACATGGGCAAACGGATGTTTAGGCTTAAGCCTAATACCCCTAATTCTAGACTGCCGTGTCTCATGGTGATTCAAAGGGAATCTTGTTTGAAGTGATAAAGAAGTCTCGGCGACAGCTCCCTTTGGTATTACAGAGCGAATCTGCTTTCTTCCATTGCTTCCATCCTTACCTTTCGGGAGCATCTGTTCTGAGCTTTACACCCGGGTTGCGGACTTCCTTGTGGATCGGTTCGCGTGGTGTTTTTGGCCACCCGACAGGTTCGGGGTCCCGACTCGAGCGGATTGCAAGGTGTTCACGTGAAGATGCAGCGCGGGAAGCTTGCCTGAAGGGCGGTCGCTGGCAAAGCCCAAAGGGTCCCTTGCTGGGTCGATTGGCAGGGAATGAGTTGGAATGCCCCCTACAAACCATACCCTATGGTTTCCTTGAAGGGAATCCTCTTCGGTTCATTCCCAAAACCCGGTCTCGGTCATTCCCTACTGAGCACCAGCAGGCTTGGTAGCCTTAGCGGCTGGGTTTGGATTAAATGGAAGTAGCGTACTTAAGCAGCTAGGGGCTTCTTCTTGGAACAAATGTGCCCTAGTCCTAGGCTCTCTGATAAAAATGACAATCTGGTCAGAAAGGCGGCAAAGGCCACACAGGCAAACACGGCCCAGGCCACCCACACCCAATCATGACCGCTGGAAACGGTTCTGTTTCGTTTGGTTACAAGGATGCTTTTTATGGTGTTGGTTTATAACATGGTTGATGAGAAGCGTGTGTCCCCATTTCAGATAGAAACACCCTCTAAAAGAGTGCCGGGTTATTCATCCCATACCTATAGTCTGCTGAGAGTCTTCAAGAGATCATCTGAACCTTGAGCATTGTGGCTTGCCTGAAATGGGAAGCCCCTTCCCCGTTGTATTCAAACCTTGGCGTATGGGCGTATTTAAGGACCAGAAACACGCAAGAACCACTCAGGATTGCAGCTACTGACCCCTGATTAATACCCCCCTCCTTTCTTCCAGGGAGGGCTTATTCATCAGGGGTCAACATGAGCTGGTTTCAGCATGTTTCAGCAACATCCGCGGTCAGACACGCGGACTTTCGTTCCTTACAGCTTTGCACAGCTCGCCTGGGTCTGTCTATAGCAACGGTCAATAGTTACCATTTGGGTCTGTCTTTTTTTGGGCAGCCCTTTCTTGTGGTGCGTGAATGGAGACCAAAAGAAGCGCCAAAATCTATGTTAAAGGACCCCTGAAAACACAGACCAGATGACATGGGTCACATTCACATGGGAGGGGGGCTCACCAAACTCCCCATGTCAGGCACACAAGAAATAACGGCCATGCCTGTCCAAAGCGAATCGACGGCTTCACCTATGACGTTCGGTCCGATCGACCCAAGGCGAACTCTGTCCATGAAGTGAGCCCTAAGGGCCCTCTGATGAGTTCCGTGTTAGTGGAAGGGCACCTTGACGCCGTTCAACTCCCAAAGAAAATTCCTCTTCCTTCTCCCGACGAATGAAGCAAGCTGCCGGCTCCAGTCTTCACTGAGCCTTTTGCCGGCTTCGCCCCTTCTTTTTTCTTCTTCTTTTTTCGGCATTCGGGTTTTCGGGCACGATGTTTTTTCGTCTGAGGATTAACATCGGCAACACCTTCGACTACCCGGGCAGCAGCAGAAAAGTGGAGGACGTGAGCAAGCACGTGAAGTGGGCTCAGGAACAAGGCTTCGCACACACCAAGGGTTGTGAAATTTGGTCTTTTCTGTGTATTTTTCCCGGAGGAAGTCTTTCCCTAAGTCAACTAAGTCCCCCAGTAGTGCCCTTTTCCCATTTTTGGGGGGAGGGTTCCCCTACTAAAATAGACTACAGAAAAAAGTTGGTGCCCTTAATTATTCTATTCTCTCTTACAAAAAGGTGGCCTTTTTATGGCCGTGGGAGGTCTGGGTGGCCCCCTCTGATTCATGTTTTTGTTCTGGAGTCATGGAAGCTTCAAGGGATGGGTGTTCAGCGGGGGGGGCTATACAAAGACTTCTCTCCGGACCCGAACCATTAAGGAAGCTTCAGCTAGGCGATTGGGCGGGTGCCCCAGAGAAACGTCAGATGGGCCCTCTGTCAGTTGCCTCGGCCCGTCTTTTTTTGAGGGTACACTTTTTTCAGGTGGGTGTAAAGGGAAGCCGACTGGATAGCCATAAACACACACTCTCTTTTTTGGGGGGGTCCCTTCTTGTTGCGAGTTCTGGTCAATAGCCCTTGCTATGGCAAAGCCTCTTGCAAGTGGTCGTAGGGACCTCTAATATTGACCTTACACGTGAGTTCGGAAAAAGTGGAACTGATAGGAGAGGGGCATTTTGTTTCCTGATCAATCTTAGATAGATTTGTCAAAGGAAGTCTCAAGCAAACCAGCCATTGTGTCTGTCTTTGCTTTGGATACGAGTCATTTGGACGCCTTTCTTGGTCACAACAGAGCATGGCCCAGAGATGTCCCACTCAAGTCAAGACAGGCGTCCTTGGCAGCAGATCCTCAATTTTCTTGGGCCTTCGGGTAGCCTCAAGGAGGCTAGTTGGGTCGGCCTGGCCGCAAAACCAATGACAGATTGCCCCCCCCCCCCTCGACTCCCCCCTTTTTCCGGTCTTCTCGCTGCTCTTTTCGCTCTACCATTCTCAGTGGTTGCAATGTGTGTGCGTGTGCTTTTTGAGGGTAATAATCATTGTTGAGGTGGGTTAAAGGGAAGCCAAAAGGAAACCAGCCACCCTGAACCTCCCATGGAATTTTTGAGACACATCCATGTAACCTTCCCAACAAAAACGGACCCAGAGACGTGGTTTTGGTTCCGCTGAAGGTTCCAGGAAGCTCTTCGGAGGCCTTCCTTTGGCCCTCTCGGGTCGAGGGGAAGTTTCATGACTACATTCGAGCGAGCCATTGTGGACAAACGCGCTGGGCCCCGATTCCCCAATCCCAGTATAAGGGCGACTAAAAGCGACTCAGGCCTACGGGCTAGCTGACATCCATGGGACTTGGGACAAAAGCGTACTAAATATTCTCGAGATGGATCCAGCATCTCGATCAATGGACCAAACACCCATGTCCGGCAGCAGCTCCTGGCTTCAACTTCTGGCGTCCTCTCCGTTGAACCGTTTCCTCTTAGTTCTGGAAAACCAAAGGTTGGACGCCTTTCACACAGAAACCCAACTCTTGGTCTCCCTTTGTTTGTTTATTTTTTTTGGCGGGCACTCTTTTGGCCGCTTAACCGGAAAACCTCAAGAATTCCTTTTGCCTCTTGGTTTTCTTCAGCCAAGAACGAGCCCGAAGATCGGCTCGGCTCACGGTGGCCAGGTTTCCAGCACATCCGTCTCCCCGTGACCTGGGACGGCCGCACCTCGGCCAATTCGGTGATCGGTGGATTTCAGAACGGGATCGGGCAAATTTGGTGGGTAAACCCTACCTCGGAACCCAACGAGGTCCAAAACTTGGGCATGGAAACACCATTTAAACCGAGTTTTCAGGTTTTTCGAGGCTTCTCTTGGGGGGTTGAAGGAAAACCGCGGCGAAAACCAGCATTGGTTGAAGTCCAGAAATTTAGCCACTGTTTGGGTTCGGTTGCCATGTTAGTAAAAAGTTTGGTTCCTGTTTTTGGGCAATCCACTCAGGAAGCGAGCCTTTTTCCAGTCATGGTTTTCCCAAAATGAAAGCTTTCGTCTTCCAAAGCCCTCGCACCAGCTTTCATGGTTGTTGGGGGAGGATAGTTACTGTAAACGCTTCGCGCTTGTATTGGTTGGCTTTGAAGTGCGAGTTGTCTGGCGGTTTCAAAGTGGGCAATTCGATTTTAGATTTCGGGCCCCCATATCTTCCAAGAGGGGCATAATTTCAGCAGTTTCGGGCACAACCAGGTTTTAAGTTGAGACGGCGCATTTTGATGCAAACTGCGCTTTTCCTCTTTTCAGCATCAGGGTGAATATTCGAGGTCAGGTGGCGCTTGAAACTCATGCCAGTATGCTGGTTCTGGTCGAATGTGATGCACTTGACTTCGCAGCACTAGCGCCGCAGCGATCTATTTGTTTCTTTATCACGCCTCTTGAGTATTGGAGGTCCAGCAAACAGCATCCAACCACTTGTTGCCGGCGCAGGACTGGGGCATGAGCTGGTTTTAGCGCTGCTGCGCGGCGAAGGTTATAGCCATTTCAAGCAACACTCACATTGGGAGTGGTAAGATCTCTAACGGCCTCACGAATCACACAATGTCAAGTGCTTTTTGCTGAGTTGTTGAAACTATTTGCGACTAAAACTTGGCGCATGTTTAGCTTGAAATGCCTTCCTAACGTCAGAAGGGCAAGTCTTGCATAGTGGTTATCGGCACAATGATAGGATGGAAGGCCAATCCGCTTTAGGCTGGTTTGCATGCAAGCCAAGAAGGTTGGAAGCATGCGAAACGAGGAAATCTGAGGGAACCACGCCAACACATAAGAATGTAAGTAAGTTGCTACTTCAGCAGTTGCCGTGATATTGCTGTTGGATGGCTTTGTTTACTGCTGCGCACACCTGGGAAGCGTCAATTTCTGAATTGCAACGGGGCTTGCCATCACAGCAGGCCCTAGAGTGAAAGACCCCGAGTTGTGTTGCCTTGGAAAGATTCAAGCAACTGTGTCCAAACTTGCAGAAACAAAACGGCGATAATTTGCGGCCAAACGGCGATAATTTGCGGCCAAACGGCGGTTTTTAGCGAACCACATTCATAGCGCTTGCCGGTTCACTTCACACGCTGCTCTATCACATGGGCTCTCCCTGGAAGCTATCTGTTGCACGGGCTGTCCTCGGAAATGACAGTCGGTCATCATTCTGGCTGCAGCCATATTTGACAAGAACATGTAAGTAAGCAGCCACAACATATTAAATTCAATTAAACTTGCTGATGTTGGCACTGTCTGAAACCAAAAATTAAGTGGTGATGTGATTCGTGTTGGTGGCGTGCTGTGCTGAGAAGGTGCAAGCGGTGACTGCGACTTGAAAAAAAGAGAGTGAGGAGCTTAAGCTACAGGTCTCGCATGTCCTCCTGGGTGAGCACTGCTTGACACGTCAACTTGCAACGAATGCTGCAGAGTTGCTTTGCGCACGCAAGTTTGGAATTCTCAGGATGTTGGTTCCAGACCCTTCGGGGCTCTTGAGCGCCACCATTGACAGATACGAAAGACAGCTGAGACCCAAATCTTGCGCACGTGCTTGAACAACTTTGCTCAGGGATGCGCGGCAGTAGCAGGATTTATCCTGCTATCCGAAGCTTTTAAGCAACTTTGCAATCTGGGCTGGGCATTTTACATCATTTTACTCGCCATACCCTTCACAAACCTCCAGGCGCATTTGTCCGCACTAAATTGGGGCAATGACGCGAAACAGCTTTGTCAACATGAACGAAACTGCCGGAAATTCGCAAAACGGTAAGTATTGATTGAAACGGCTGAAATTAATTGAAACGACAACATTTTCTGCAGTTTGGCCAAACGGCAGGAATTACGTACCCTCAGAAGATCCAGGTATATTTATTGCAAACGCATTGTTTTGTTACAGGTACATTCCTTAGGGGCAACGATGAAGCCAGAAGAACCATGCAAGCTCGCGAAATCGATGCCGCTGGGCGAAGTGGCGGCCGGCCAGCCGAAGGTCTGGGGGCAATGGATGGGGCATGAAGGCATGGCCAGCCGTGGGTCGGGCGGCTTGGGCAGGTTGGCACATGTGAACTTGTTGGAATCCCCGAGCCTTGCACATGCATGCACGCATTAGGTCCAAGTGCATGCATCTACAGCATGTTGTCATATCCGTGCACATGTGCACACACACGCGCATCCATATGCCACACACGCACAAGCACATACTAGTCAACATGCATAAATACATACATGCGTATGTACACACATACACACATGCACGACCACACACCTACACATCTACACATGTACATATACACACATACATACATGCATACACGCAGGCATACATACATACAGTGACATGTATTTGTACGCATACATACAAATGCATGTGTGTACGGACTGCACAGGTGTACATGTGTAAATATATTGGCATCAATATATATGGGTTTGTCTTTTTTTGGTGTGTTGAGTTGCTTCAAAAGGCAGAAGGTGGGACCTCCCCGAATCATACCCCCGAATCATACCCCCGAATCATACCCCCGAATCATACCCCGAATCATACCCCCGAATCATACCCCTTAAAACGTATGCTGCAAGATGCTACTGTTCTTCTACCGTTTTGTGTTGTTCACTGTCTCCACAACCACCACCAGCGCTACCCAATACTACCACTACCACTGCCACTGCCACTACTACTACTACTACTACTACTGCTACTACTACTACTACTACTACTACTACTCCAATTACTACTACTACTGCTACTACGACTACTACTACTACTACTACTACTACTACTACTACTACTACTACTACTACTACTACTACTACTACTACCGCTGCTGCTACTACCGCGACTACGAGTATTACTACCACTACCACCGCTACTACCGCTGCGACTACTACTCTACTGCTTCTACTTCTGCGTACTGCTACCCTACTACTACTAACTACTACCTACTACACTACCTTGACTACTACTACTACTACGACTACTACCTTTATTACTACTACTACTACTACTACGACTACAACCTTGACTACTACTACTACTACTACTACTACTACTACTACTACTACTACTACTACTACTACTACTACTACTACTACTACTACTACTACTACTACTACTATTCCTGCTTCTGCTGCTGCTGCTACTACTCACTACTACCACATACATCATTCTGAGTCTGTAATCAGTGCCGTTTTGCACCTAGCCGAATCATACCCGCGAATCATACCCGAATCATACCCGAATCATACCCGGACAATGAGCTTCCCCTGCCAAGGCTGGCGCTAAGTCTTTTTCACAGCGTCCGCACCACTACAGCCGCTGCTGCTTATGCTACAGCTGCTACCACTACTTCTGCAACTGCTACTACTACTACTACTACTACTACTACCACTACTACTGCTACTACTACTACTACTACCACAGCTACTACGCGTTTGTAATCAGTGCCGTTTTGCACCTAGCCGAATCATACCCGCGAATCATACACGAATCATACCCGCGCATACACGAATCATACTGTTACTACTACTACTACTGCTACTACTACTACTACTACGACTACTAGTACTACTACTACTATTACTACTACTACTACTACTACTACTACTACTAGTACTACTACTACTACTACTAGGACTACTGCTACTACTATTTACTACTACTACTATTACTGCTACTACTACTACAACAGCAGCTACTACTACTATTACTGCTACTACTACTACTACTACAACTACTACTAACTACTACTACTACTACTACTACTACTACTACTACTATTACTACTATTACTACTACTACTACTACTACTACTACTACTACTACTACTACTACTATTGTTACTACTACAATATTACTACTAGTACTACAACTTTGGCGACTACTGCTACTACTACTCCTACTACTACTACTGCTGCTGCTGCTGCTGCTGCTTCCGCGAATCATACCCCCGAATCATACCCCGAATCATACCCGCGAATCATACCTGCGAATCATACCGCGTACTCAAACCTTCCTGCCCGGCCACCCTAAAAAAATACAAGCCCATATATATATATTCACATACATGTATTTTGTGCATTTGTATGTCTGTTTTTGTGCACATTTGCGTTTATGCCTGTGGCGCATTGCCCTTCGATTTCTGAGATTTCGATGCGGACTCGAGCCTCGCAAAGTCTGTGACGGCTGTGGTGGACTACGCCATCGGGCTGGGCCTCTACGTGATTCGGCCGGAGAGAAGTTCGGGTGGCTCTGATGGTTGGCGGAAATCCAAGAGAACAGTTTCTCGGAGTTCCACATAATTTTTCCTGCAAACATGCCTCCCAAAACGGTCTAGCTAGGTTTTCCCAAGGGGGGGGTGTTTAAGGCGGGGCGGAGGGGGGTGTTTGGGGAGTTCCCTTCAGGGGGTTTGGAAGACGTGTTTTTTTTTTGAGGTCCCCTTTTGTTTTTTGTAGGAGAAACCCAAAAACAACCCCCAAACAAGAGTTGGTACCACTGTTGGGGTTTCCTTCTATGCGCCTACAAGACGGTGTCCGTTTCAAGGGGCATATTGGGTTGCCATTGGAATAGTGTTGTCACCAACTCTCCAGCAAACTAAATCACCATACTCACCATGAATCGGGCTTATAACCCTATTTATCAACGCAGTTGCTGGCCAACAATACTGGGCATTTAAAGACCGCTTCCAGGTCGCCTGAAGGCTTCTCGCGGGTCCGCATGTGAGGTTTGATTGGTTCATTCGCTTAAGCATATGCTTTTCCATGTTCCCCCTTTTTTGGAAGGTCATCTATCACTACTGGGATTTGTTTTTTGTTTCTTGCCAAACAAACAAGGACGCACACGGGGAAAACCTTCGGTGGGTTTTCTCTGTCACTTCCCGGGCGGATTCCGGCGGAGTTTTTTTGCAGCGCGGAGGTGGTGATCAACACCCATCACGAGAAGTGGCTGAAAGACCACTACGATGGCTCCAAGCACCGCGGCGCGGTTCGTGCATTCGCGCAAACGGGACACCTCCGAGCAAACCCTTCCCTTGGGCGATTTGGTAACGGATATTGGGACATTCACTTTTTGGTTGAAATGGATACCAGAGGGGATCCACAAACAGTTGAAAAATTGGTGCAGAGGGGTCAACAGCAACCCAGTTCCATTTGCTCAATAGTGTTGTTGCATGTCCTGTTGGTTTTAGGGGAATCGATCACCACCGGAAATATGTTGTCTTGTTCCTGGGGACTTCAGTAAATGGAAGGGGGGAGCACGTTTGGGTTGCCAAAACTCGTTTCCAACGCATTTTCGGGCATGGACTTTGAAGGTATAGAGGTTATCCACTTGTATAAGACGTATATACTGCACAAGCGTAGATTGGTGGTATATCCGGAGATTTGGGGATTGCTGGGTTTAAAGGAAAACCGAGAGGAGCACCCACAGTTTGGGGCTTTTCAATTTTCATTCTGCCCCATTTGCCCGACATTTGTTAAACCGTGCGAGTCACGGCGCCCGTGTGGCGCGCTCGCTGCCTTGAGGCATTTCCAAGACCAGTTCTGGAATCTCTGGCGCGGACCTCGGAGCAGTTCGACAAAGGCGCAGGTGGATTTCACGCGAACTCAAACCACTTTGGGAGGGAAGCCCCCAAAAAATAAGACGAGTTTGAAAAATCCGGGGTCGACACGACTTCGCGGTAACCCGCGGAAGGTCTTTCAAGTTTTTTTTTTTTTTTTTTTGGTTTTTTTCTCGGTGGGAGGCCAAAGGGCAGCTCTGTCTTTTGTTTGGTTTTCGCGACAGGTTCCCCCCTTTTGGCGACAAAGCTGGTAGCCCTTGATTGGCGGTTTGGACTGAGCGGTTTGGGATTTGCACCCCAATCCCTTCTGGTTTGCCTAAATGGAGAAGGCGGCCTCGAAAGTCCAAACCAAACCACCAAGTAGGGGGAAGCTGAACAAACCCGAAGTCCTAATCTTCTCTGGTGTCAAGTCATGCTCTTATCTCGAGACACGGGTGATTTCTGAAAAAAATGGACATGCTGGAAATTGTGCCTTGATCAGTTACAACACGTGTGTCGAGCGTTTGGGACCGGCGATTGTAGGAAGCACTCGAATAGCTGGATTCCCTTTCTCTGTCTTTGACTCATGAGAAGAGGGCATTTTTCTTCCAGCAACAAGCGTCCCTATATGGGTCTGTCTTTCTTGAGGGTGCCCCTTGTTTGGTGATTGTAAAGGGAAACCAAAAGAGAGTCCGCATTTTGAGGGGTCCCGTTAAAAAAAAGACATTCATATATGTCCATCTATATGTCCCTTGCTGTTTTTTCCAGCGTCACTTTAGGTTGGCCCAGCAGCTTCCCTTGGTACGGTGTGATGTTTCAATGGTTGACTTCCGTGAGACGAGTCTTCAGGGGATTCGTGTCGTCGTCTCGATCGCGTAGAGATGAGCGCCGGGTCGTGGGCGCCATACTGGTGATCAATGGTGAAGAAATCCAGGGAATTTCAGCAAGGAGGCCAACAAATTGCTCCGGAGATTGTGATGCCAAGAGAATTTCTGGCAAGTTTGGGGACCCAGTGATGCCCTCAGGAAAGACATCGCCACGCACTTCAAGAACAGGAGCAGTGCCTCGGCTCGGGGGAAAAACGGGTTGCTCCTATTTGTTTGAACGCTGAGCTTTGAAAGGTGCCATTTTAGTTGGCAATCACCTGTCTCCGAATTAGAAGTCAAGGGTTGCGGTCTGTTTGGACCCTAGCAGTACTTCTTTTGCAAGGTTTTCCGAACAAGGCTGGAAGCTGGATGTGGCGGAATGAGGTTCCGGAGGGGCAACTTTCTTGACATATGGCGGGTTTGGGGAGTGTATTGAATTTAAATGGTTCCACAGACTTCCATATTTGTTCTATTTCCCCTTGTGGTTTGGAAGGGAGTCTATAACAACCGAACGTTGTTCTTTTTGCCCACGGGACTTATGGAGGCAGATGCCCGCGTCAACCACCCCACAAGCAAGCCAATCGACCATATCTTTCAGTCCTTCAAGGACACCAAAAGAGGATGGGCAAGTGTTGCATTTCCCTGGTTTTTTTTTTTAAAGCACTTCCTGAGTTCATGAACTTTAGACTTTTTGGGCTTGGTTGCCATTTTAGTGGTACACATTAAAAGTTCGGTTACTTTTTTTGAGCCATCCACTCAGCCGGTGAGTTTAAGCACCGGATTGGGGATCATGCTTCGCAGCGCTCTTGATTTGCGTCGAGGGGGGTTGAGTGGGGAATTGCATTGGTCAGTTCCGGAGGCCCAAAGTGATTGCATTGGTTTCGGCGACCAAACGTTGAAAGGTGGACACTTCTGAAGCGGTCTTTTTCATTTGCTCAAGAATATGCTTTCTGTTGACCTATCACTGCTGAATTGTTTTTTTTGTTTTTTTTTTTCCGCAGCAGACTTAAGCAAATGAAGGGTATTGTCTGAGCCGAGGTCTGCTGATCTTCGAAATCCTGAACGCGCCTTGACTTGCATTGGCCAAGCTAGACTGCGTGTTTCCGCGGGATTTCAGGTGGACTTGCTGCTCCCCTTTGCTTTGCGGAGATCTTTTCCGCAACGGATAATGTTGGTACTCTATGGTTCATGAGGACGGTAACCAACTTCCTTGTGAAGAAGGCATCAACCAGACCCAAACTTACCCCATGAAAGGAAAGCCATGGCTCTTGTTTGGTCACTTTCCAAACTGAACGTCTCATGTCCACAGACCTCAGCCCTGTTCGCAAGTTGCTTCTGCAGAGGCCGTGTTTAGGTGATGCCCCAAATTGGTGGTTGGACCGGTTTTGGTGATTGGAACCCCTGGTTGCCGTTGAGGGCAGAACAGGCCCCCACATAGCCCGAGCCGACCCAAGCCCCGCCCCAAACCACCAGAGGGAAACGGATTTTCGGGGTATTACACTTAAATCGCAACGGGTGTTACTGAACAACTGGAGAAGTCCGACTTGGCTTTGCTTTTGCTAAGAAACCCTCCCCTTCTTGGATTCCAAACCACCCATGAAACCACCGGCCCCGTTATTTTTAACCTGGTCAGGCTCACGTCCCGAGTGGTAGGTGAACGGGAAGGCACCGACCAGTTTCTGACTTTTGACCGCCAGAAATCGTCAACATGACCCCAGAGCCACCAATAAGGGGCTGCAGTGGTATATGCTACCCTGAAATGATCTGTGGAGCAACCCTCTGGGCATTTTCAGGAATGGGAGCTATGGATGCTTGCCAGAAGCTCCTAAGGCACTGATTTACACACCGCAGTGGCATAGGTGTCCTTGTTAGGTTACTTTGGTTCAAAATAGATGGGCTCCACTGGTTTAGATGGGTGTAGTCCATTTACCAGGGCCATCTATTTTGCCAAAAGGCCACCTATGCGCAGTGGTAGATCTCAGCTCCGCCTTGGTTCCCTCAGGTGTCCCAAGCGCGAAAGGCAGATTGACGCAATGAGATGAGGGTGGGTGAGAACCAAAGGCCAATGGGGTGCCCGGAACACCAAATCCTGCACCTAGGATGGATGAAGCCCTACAATTTCTGGGATGCACCGATTTTGCAGAACAGTCTCCAACAGTGAAAGGCATTGTCAGGTATGGGGGTTCCAGGTATGGAGGTGAGACATAAGGGGCATATACTACCTTATGACCTTATATATGAGTGACACATCAGCATCCATACTGTGAATGGACGTATTCCTGCACCCCTAAGAAATTCTAGAATGTTGAAGCCCCTGTAAATGCCAGCAAACAATGGTTTCAACCATGGTTTCATTTCGTGCCGCGAAATGGACTTTGCCCATCCATAGCACCTCCAAAACTCGTATTGGTGGGAATGAACCGTTTTGGGGATTCCCGAAAGAAGCAAACCACTTCCCGGTCTGGGTCCTTTGTCTCGGTCGTTCCCTATCGCCCCAGCAAGAAACCCATCTAGCACAGCTTCTTCTGTCCGAAGCTTGCAGAGAACCGACATGCCGCACCGGGGAAGCCCTAAAGTGATTCCCCAACGTAAATACCCACGCACGTTGTGATTCCAACTTTCAATATGGATTCTGTCCATCCACTGTACCTCCAGAACCCATACTGATGGGACTGGACTGAACCGTTTTTGGGGATCCCGCCTACAAAAAGAACAACTCGAAGCAGCGAAATCGCACGGCGAAATCCTACACCACCTGAGATACCTGGAATGATTCGATCCCCCAACGTAAATACCAACGCAGGTTAAGGTATTCCCTTAAGACCATGACCCAAGCATGGGGTTCATGACCCCTTTATTTTGGGTAATGACCCAACTTTTTTTGTTTTTACAGAAGGAGACTCCGGGTATCAGAAGCAAGACCGGCAAATCCCTGGCGACCGTTTTTTAAGGGTCAGAACGGAGACTCCAGGTATCATAGAAAAACAACAACAACACAGAGAGCGGCGCGAATTCCTGGGGTAATGACCCGTTTTTTTTTGTTTTTTCTCTTTTTTTGTTGTTTTTTTGTCTTTTTTCTTTGTTCTTTTTTTAACAGAAGGAGACTCCAGGTCTCAGAAAAGGGCGAGAACTCCTGGCACGGCAAGCCGAGCTCCGCCGAGCTCCGAGCTGAGGAGCCGGAGAACGCCTTCGGCTCTTGGTCCGGTCCATGGCCAAAGCCTTTCGATCAGCCGCTCGGTGGTTCGAACGAGCGGTTCGGGTCGGGTGGAGGGTGGAGGGTGGAGGGTGCTGGTTTCGAGAGATGCGGGGAAGGAGAAATGGAAGGACCCCAACGAAGGGACCAATTCCTGGGAATGAAATGCTTTGTCAGGGTCATTCCATTTCACATTTTTACTGATCACGGGTGCCATTTCTCTTTCCCTGCCTAGCGCACCAGCAAGTTTTGCTGGGGAACCTTTGAAGGTTTCTGATGGGTTGTAAAGGGAAACTAAGAGGAAACAAGGATTTATGGGGGATCCCTTAGAAAATGACACCCCTTGGAGAATGGAACCCAAAGTTCTGGTGGAACCCATCATCCGGAGGTGTCCCAAAGCCGAAACGGACCCGTGGGGCCCAATTAGCACTCGAATTCGATCCCGGCGTATTTATCCCAATTCGAGCTCTGCGTTCATCTTGCTATTCGGGGTCTTCAGATTTTGCTTCGGTGTATTTGGGGTTAGTTTAGGGTTGGTTTAGGGTTAGTTTAGGGTTGATTTAGGTTTAGAGCTACGGTTTAGGGTTTGGTTTAGGGTGTATTTAGGGTTGGTTTAGGATTAGTTTTGGGAAACTTGTTGCAGAGGGGTGTTTCAGCAACCAAGTCATGTTCAGCCGGCCCCAGACCTTGCTGAATGATTTAAATCGGTTTGACGCCGGACAAAATTGGAGGGAGTGAAAGATCTTGGCTTTTGAACCAGGTCGAATCGATTTGAACTGCTGATGCAGTGGTGGTTTGCTTGAAGTCATTGCCTCAAAAGCTAGGCTGTTGATGGTTGTGTCTTGGGCCAGGCATGACGAATCTAATGATCAATCGGCGGATGTCGATGCAACATGGCGTTGGTAGAAGCTGATTATATCGAGCGCAGCATGTCACGTGATATTTATTTTGTAATTAAAAAGGGCTCGGGCTTCCTGTTTCTTGGTTTACTTGCTGGTGCTCAGCAGGGAATGAGGGAATGAACTAGGGGATGTTTTGAAAGGACACCAGTTGGATGGTTTATGGGGGCCATTCCCTCATGCCCTGAGCATCAGCAAGTCTCAAGCAACAACTCGTTGGACGCCTCCGGGCCTCAGACGCCTGGGCTTTCTGTTTTGCTAGTTCCCCACCCCAGAATTTTCGGTGGAGGTCCATGAGACAGGTCAGCTATGGGCTCAAAGCACCCATGTGCTTTGCTTTCATAAATGGATCAGTGTCGCCATTGCATGTTCCATACTGAAAACTCACTTTGCCCAAAGTGAATCGACCGGATCTCACCTGTTGGTTTCCCGTTTTTGGTCCATGATCATGGCCAAACAAAGGTGATCACCTTTTATTTCTGGGTCCCTAAGGAGCCACTGAGACTATAGTAGGGAACCGGCCAGTTTCCAAGCAATGGGTTTTGAAGGGTTCCCTTGTTTATCTTCTCAAGGAAATGATATCACCGGCCAAAATTGAGAAGCTCCTCTCGCTCCTGGACTTTAGTCTCTGATTGGGGTTGGACGATTTTAGTGGTAAACAAATGAGACAGTTTGGACGTTTTGCCAATCCTCTCGATCAGAAGCGATCTTTAGGCTAGACTGAAGATGACATATCATCAGCAGACACAATTGTCTGCGCCAGATGTGGGCCACGGTAGCTGTGTTCCATTGAGTGGTTCGAGTATTCTGCTAAGACGAAGCACTTATTTAGGCAACAAGCACCACTCGCGGCCGCTCTTTCTCAGCTGCGGCAGCGGCTTGGGCAGTGCTTGCAGCGCTGTAACCTCGACGTAAGAGCCATGCCGTAAGAGCCATGCGATGCGCTCCACGCAGGTCTGCTAGGCGCCATGCCCCCCCCATCCCCAGACCCCCAGGAACATGATCGGGGATTCGGAAGGTGCTCACAACCTGTGCTGGGCAGCTGGGAGCCAGGCGGTTGCGCCATCCGCATTCCGGCAAGCAGAACAGGCGGAATCCTCCCTACAACGACCCGAGAAAGCGACCCAAGTTGGGCGACCAACTCCAGCTACTTGAAGCGAAGGGGTCACGCAGCTTGAGATCCTAGGCTTTCCATTGACCGCACTCGGGAGATCAACGCCGTTGGCTACGATGCGGTGCGAAAGGTCTCCCAGGATGGGAGAGATGGGTATGGGTCAAAGTTCAACCACCCAGAGGCTCCTGGGGCTTTCAATGGAAGACCCGACCCCTCCATTAGACACCCCAGAGGTGTTGGGGGGTCTCAAAACCCGGCTGTTTGAGGGCCCTAAATTGATCGGGAGCGTCTGGGCAGGAATTGGACCGCAGGTTTTAGTCCATGTTACCATATGTTACCACTTGCCAGGTTCATTTTTTGGGGTTACCCTATTTTTGACCCGCAGCTATATGTTCTGGTCACCCCTGCTGGGTTGTTTGTTCTGGATCAACCTCGGTCACCTTGACGGACCTCCATTCAGCAAGTAACCTGCTAGTCATCAGTGTGGAGGAAAAAACAATCAGTATGCTTGACACGCAACCTGAGTTGCTGATGTACTCCTGGGGCAAGTTGCAAAGCAGCGAGATTGCTGAATCATTGGACACCTCAGCGTGCGAGCGCAAACCATGCACCATCTTCTTATGATTGTTGTGGGCCCATTTGATGAAGCCTTTATGAAATGCCTTCCAGCAAGCAAACGTGAAAGCCGGCAGAACATTGAACATGGGACCCCCGAGCGCTTGCCAATATCAGGTTTCATGTCGGTTTTCTATGTGACTTTGCTCAAAGCTGGGCTCAAAATTAAGGCGGACAAGATTGTTGCTATCAGATTGTTTTTTGTAGTGCCGCACTAGGGCTTACGGATTTTGAAATTCGGAAACCCCCCCGCCTTCCCATTTTCTACAGCCCCAGCAGCAGTCCAAATGTTTGCCTCCTGCGCAGGACCGTATGGTTTTCCTGAGCCCCAACGCTATGGCCAACATAGGCCGGCGGCTTTTTGCAGTGGCTGTGCTTGTGCTCCCAAACGCACGTACACATGGATGAAATTTAGTTGTCATACACTTGCATGTATATATATGTATATACATAAAGAGAGATAATGAGAGAGAAAGAGAGAGGCAGATAGAGAGAGAGAGAGAGAGAAAAAAAAAAACAAGAAGCAAATAATTGCATGTGTACACATGCACGTCCCGTTGTTCAAATGCTCGGCACACTGCCTGTCGCTAGCCACTGCGAGCTACGTCTATCCAAATCCAACGAACCTGCCGGGTGACGGCTCTGATGCGGCTCGGCCGCAAGCTGCGGAAGTCATATCCGACTGTAAGGTTTAGACGCGGATGTATCCTCAATGGCTGTAATTTTCAGAAGTTATCCTCGGTTCGTGAAAGTGTTCTGTTGGGGATTGATTTCACGTTCACAACCATAGTGAGTGCACTCACTTTCTTGGGCCTTGCCAGGGAATGACAATGACCCTATTGGCCCTATAAGCAATCTTGTGCGGTTTCCCTTGCGGGAACCCCTTATTCTCAAAACCCGGCCTCGCTCATTCCGTACCTATCGCACCAGCAAAATGGCGCCCTTTTCTAGATTTGGAAGTACCATGCATGTTTGCATGTTTGCATGGCCTGAGTGAAGGAAGCATGGGGAAGTGAAGCTTGTAGAGCAGAAGTCTCTTACTGATACATCCAGGCAATGCAAGAGAACAAACTGCACACAAGTGGAACTTCTGAGTGGCTTAAGGGTTACTAGCTGACTATTGGGCCTAACATGTATTGGGACAAAGTTGGAGCTTGTACCCTCTTGTCAGCTAAAAACGTGGGGCGTGGGGCACAATGAGATACTTTATGAAGGATCCTGAATTCAGAAGCCGCTGCCACGTGTTACCCTTCCATGTCTGAACAGACAGCATCCAGACATGTCGAGCAGGTGACTCGCAGATGCACTATCTTTGACACGTTTGATTTACCCACTTTCATGAACTTTCATTTGCTGAAGATTATGTGAATTATCCCTTGTTGTTTAAAGGAATTCCATCACTGGACATATGTCTTTTTTTTTCCCGGGCATACTCGCAAATGGACGACAAGCTCCGCTAAAGTCTCCTGGGAGTTGGTTAAGACAAAACGGCACCTGATTGGGCTGATCTTCTGCAATCCCTCAGGCTCTTTCTGTAGCTCGGAGAGTGCGAGTCTCTTGGATTAGACTTGTTTAAGGTAGTGCATCACTTCCTCCTGATACCCAATGGGGTGCATGTCAAAAGAGGACCTTAGGATATGCAACCCCAAACCAGGACTTTCCCCAAACCTGCTTCTCTTGAACAAATCCACAAACACAGACCATGGTGATCATGGAACGGCTCTCCAACACTGGAAGTGGACAAGAAGCCTGTTCAAGGCACTGTCTTCGACCGCCCCCCCGGTCAGTTTCCATAGGCAAGAGGGTACCTTCCGTGTCTTTAGGATAACCCATTCTTGAAGGGAGACAGTTTCAGGCACAGGTGTCGGAACCTTCTCCTACTTTACATGACCTTGGCAAACCTTCTGCTTCGCAAGGGATTTGGTACTTTTCCCGCACCGCAAACGATCTGAGTGTCAAACACGAAGTTTAGACTATTGTGGGTTGTAGACTCAACGGCTTACCGCAAAAGACACCACGACCATGGCTCCCGGAATACATTACATTAATGTACCATGGTTGTCGTTGGGACACATTTTACATTTTTGCTTATCGTGGTTTGGTGGTTGAAATCCAACTCCACTTGACTGCTAAAATTAAAACCACTTAACTGAATTCCAACCACTTATCTGCTAAAATTTGAATTGTTGCTCCCCTTCCAACGTCAATTGAGCTACTGAGTGTCCATAGCCTCCCGTAAGTTGAACAGCCGGCGGCCTTTCGAGGCGTGCTTGGGCGTGACGGTGCACACCTATGCAGCTCGGCCTTTTCGGGCCTGGGGGTGTTTCATGCGTGAAGCTGTGAGCGTCGTTGTTGTCACTTTTAGTCTAAGTTCTCGTGGGACACTTTCTTGGCATTTGTGGCTTGAGCCAGTTGAAAGGAGTTTCCTTGAGTTAGGTGCTGTTCAAGTTGAAGCAACAAAGCGAATCTATTCTCGGCCTATTGGAAAGAAGTTTGCCCCCCCCCCACAAAAAGGAAAACAGACCAGCAGTTTGCCAAACTTGTCCTAAAAGTGGCACAGATCGACCTTTGTGGGTGGCTTGTCTCTTTCGGAGGCTCGGTACCTTTGAAAGATGTTGACAGGGCGAGCAAGAATACAGAGGCGCACTTTGCTTGGATGTTAGGACTTTAACTTTTTGCCAACTGATGTTTTCCATTAGACCACCAAAAGTTAAGCTTTTAGCATGGGAGCAGAAAGCAACCGAGAATAAATCCATTGCCATTTTTGGGGTCCCAAGACACACTGGGATCCGTGGTTCTTGGCTCCTAAGGATAGCTTCTTCTTCTTCTTCTTCTTTTATTTCCGGGGAGAGGGGGAGGGGGGGGGGGGGGCGGGACGGGGTCCCTTGGTACCTTGGCAAGGGACCTCTGGTGCTCCAGTTTGGGTGCCGAATCGCCGCTCAGCCTACCCCCAAGTTGGTTGGAGTCAACTGGAGTCCCCTTCATGAAAACTTGCTGATCCTTAGGACATGGCTGTGGCTCAGCCATAACCGGAAGTCCAAAATGGCTTGCCCTGCGAAGTGGAAACATGGGCCAAAATGTGCGGTTTGCCCCTCCTGTTTAATTTTGAGCCACACCCAAATGAGAAATGGAATGACCCCCAGAAAAGCCATGCATGTCCAATGGTTCCCTTTATTCGGGGATCCCCAAAGCCGGTTCATTCAACCATCCATTTTTGTTTTGATCTCCTGACTCCCCAAAGCCGGTTCATTCATTCCCAACGCCTGGAAGCTTGTCAGACATGGGGGCTGGGGGTGGGAGGGAGGGGGAGGGGGAGGGAGCCCAAATAAGCCCTTATTAAGCCCTTAATAAGGCCTTATTTAGTTAGGGCTTATTTGGGCTCCCTCCCCCCCAGCCCCCATGAAGTCAGTCCTCCCCGCCCTCTCGCGCCGGTGGCATGGATCGAGGACCCCTGGGACTTTGCCGGAGACACGGGGCACAACTCCTACTACGGCACGGTGGAGCGCATGAAGCTAGGCCCATGGCCTCAGCTGACTTTTTTTTTTAAAAAAAAAATGTTGTTATTATTATGTTTTATTATTGCTATTATTATTATCTTCTTCTTTTTTGTGAGGGATCTGGTTTGCTCGGTTTGCTCTTGGCTGCTCCGTGTTTCTCTTCGTTTGCTCGGCTTCTCTTGGGGGGTTTTGTGAGGGAAACCAGAGGGGCAACCAGTTTCACCCGGCCCAAGAGGGCGAGTCCAGGGCTTTTGTTAAAGCTTCTCTCAGTTGTTCGGTGGCTCCCTTTTCCCTTTTTTTTGGTGGCTGCCCCACTAAAATTGTCTTCCCAGAAAAGGGTTCCCTTTTTTTTCCAGGGTCACTGAACAACTGAGTTCTCTTGGGGAAACCCAAAGGGAAACCAAGGAGAAAAAAACTCCCGTCGAGTTCCGAAACTCGGGGTTTAGTCACTTTTTGGGGCTTGGGAAGGCCATTTGTGTGGCAAATAACGGGCTTGGGTTGGCCAGTCCGCTCGGTTGTTCAGTCCAGTCCACCCATATAACCCTTCTGTTTGGTTCGGGATGGTCTTTTCCTACCAGCCCGCGCTTGGGATCCAAACACAACATGGCCATGGCCCCACAACCTCTAGCAAATTGGCTCAGGCCTTCAGATCGCTGAGAGTGGCCGACGCTTTCTTTTGGGCCCCCAAGTTCTATTTTGGACCCATCAGACTAATGGCTCAAATTGGGGTTAAAGGCTGGAAGCTACTGTTGGGTGAAACAGATAGGACAATTGTTCAGTTAGGTTTAGTCATTCCGTTTCCCACTTGCCCAAAGCGACTCGACCTTTCGACCTTTTGTTGTCCCTTTTTGGACCATTTTTCATTGTGACACCAAAAGGTGAGCACCTTTTATTTCTGGGTCCCGAAGGGGCCACTGAGGCTATAGTATGCAACCGGCCAGCTTCCAATACGTTTTGAAGGGTTCCCTCGCTCATCTTCTCAAGGAAAAGATATGATTGAGGTTTGCTTATCCTCATAAGGGAGTTGGTGTAGGGAGTGGGAACAGGCGGGAGATGGTTGCAATTTCTGTACACCTAGCCCACCACGACTGGGACCTCTCAATTTTTTTGTCTGTTTCACATTTTGAGGTAGACTTGGTATGGACAAGACTCCAAACGGTAAATGAGGCCCCAATAAACACGGCAGAGAGTTGGAAAGCCAGACCTACTCTGGATGGACAAAGTCCATTTCGCACCGGCTAAGAAGCCATGGGAATGATTCGATTCCCCTGCATGCCCCTTTCACCCTGTTTAGTAGGGAGGGTTTCCCTACTGAAATAGACTACAGAAAAAAGGGTGCCCTTATTCTAATCTCTCTACTGGAGGACCTAGCATGGTTTCATTTCGTGGGGCGAACGGATCTCGTCCATTTAGTGTAGGGCTCCTTTTTTCTGCTGATGACACCTGCAAATGATCACGTGTAGGCGGCAAGCGGAAGGCTTCGGTCGACGGATTTAGGAAGCGGGGCGAGTGGGCGTCACATGCCCAGAAATGTCCGGACACATCGAAGGCCCTGTGAGCTTCCCAGAGCTCGAGTCTTTGCGTTGCTTCGAGTCCTGAGTTCCTGGACTTGAAAAGGACGTTTTGGGGTCGGTTACGCCAGTTTAGCAGGGCTCCGAATAAAAGAAATTCATTTTGCAACCATTTGAAACATGGAAATTTTCCGCCAAAATAAAGGGAAACCACCATTTACAAGGCAATGTTCAGGTGTATAATGTAAGGATCCCTGTTTGGTGATGAATAAAAAATAGTTGTGAGTGAGGTTCTGCCGGTCTTGGCTAGGTCTCTACGACGTGTTCAGAGATCTCCACATCTGGCAGTTTGTAGCACGGCCGCGGTTGTCCGATCGATCCACCGGACGTGTTTTGTGTTATAAATGTTTGATCCTATATTGCTTTGCAATAAGTCCAATCTATTGTGAAGCGTGTCACAGTTAGTAGGGAGCCTCTGGGGCATGGTTCTGACGGGAGAATCGGAAAATCAATGAGTTGGAGCGAGTCCCTACTTGTGACACATGTTCGTGCGCTCGTCTTGCATGTCATTTGGGAGGTACGTCAGTGCAGGGAAGTGCCTGAGTGCACGCAAGTGCGTGTGTGTCAGTGGTACTTGTTTTTGGTTTGTTTGCTTCATGTCCCCCCCCCCTTCGTGTTTGTGTGTTTATATCTTTGAGAGTTGTTTGTGCTGGGAATGGCTTGTGTTTGTTGGGTTTGTTTCAGTGGGGCCCCTTTCAAGCCCTCAACCCAAAGTTTTTGTGTTTTTTTTTTTTCTCGGGGGCCCGAAGATGGGTGGCTCGTCTTTCTTAGGGCACCCGTTAAAATGGGTCGGTTTTAAAGGGAAACCAAACTAGGTCCCCCCAGTGGTGCCCTTTCTCACCCCTTTCTTGGGGGAGGGTTCCTCTACTAAAAACGGCTACCGAAAAAAAGGAAAAATCGGGCGCCCTTATTCCTGGAGGACCTAGCAAAGGAAAAACAACACCACGTTCGGAACGTATTTTGGGTTCGGGGGGGATACCCCGAAAAGCCCTGGCACAGGGCTAAGGTGGTTGGTTGGTTGGTTGGTTGGTTGGTTGGTTGGTTGGTTGGTTGGTTGGTTGGTTAGTTGGTTGGTTGGTTGGTTGGTTGGTTGGCTAATGCCAGGGCTATGCAAAACAAACTCTGCCGGGATACCCTTAAATTTGGAGAGAAGCTTGGGGTTCTTTAAGCTTAATCAGTGCAGGGACGGGACTCATCAGGAGGTTCCCTTGGACCCACCGGCCCCCTTCCCTTCCCTTCGCTTCCACGAAAGAAGCGGCACGAAAGAAGCGGCACGGGCCGAATTTGGCCACGGGCCCCCAAGGCAAGGTAAACACCAGCACAATGGCCCGAGATGCTGAGGTGACAAGGTGATTTGGCAAGCCCTTTATGCAGTCCATGTTTTGTGAGGAGGTCACTGCAAAACAGCACAATGGAATTTGGAGCCCCACGCCCCCCAAAAAATACTCCCCTTTTCTGGGGAAGGACAAGGACGAGACCCCAATTACGCCTAAAGGGCTGTGGGGAGGGGCTCTGATTTGCCAAGCTTTGGAGCTTTTTGACCTGTTCTTCTTGTCTTCACGTAGTGCCTGGAATCCAACGAACATGTTGAGCCAGTAACCAGTTTTGCAGCCTCAAATCGGGCGTTCGAAGCCGCCACTTGATGTAGTGGGGGTGTTGCAGCCAGTCGGCGCCAGGGTAGCGGCACCAAGCTCTATATCGGCGAGTACGGTGCACTCCTTAGACCAATTGCGGCACTGCGGCTTTGGACCAGGGGTCCCTATATTTCCCTTTTTGGTGGATTTGAACATCACCTTTTCTGCCCATTTAAGGTGAGCTTCCCTTCACAAAGCTGATGTTTTGAGGGGAATAGGGAGCCCTGTGAACACATTGGTGCGAGTGCAGCACTCCCTGCTCCCTTAGGAGGCATGTTCGCCACACAGCCTTGGCTCCATGGAGCCTTGGTATGTGAAACAAATATGGGTTTGTGTCAATGAAGCGTTATTCCATTAACAAAAGTGGCATGGATGTGATGAGTTGACCTTTTCTTTATCAGAACCCCACATGTCTGTCAGCCTTGCCTTTTGGACTTTACGTCCATAAAAAGGGGAGGAGCTTTGATGGATTCGATGAACTCGGCAGTTTTGGCTTAACTCAAAAAGGGGGTCAACCCCAGAAGAAAAAGGAAGCAGCACCGGGTGTCCCTTAGGACGACGGTGAGACTATGGGGTTTTCTTTCGCTCGGATCATGCCCCAAATTTCTGGACTCAAGATTCCTTAAGATATCTTTGGGCATTGGTGTTTCTCTTCTTCCTATATGTCAGGTTAGCCTTAGCTGGCCTAGATTGGTTTGGGGTTTTGAAGCCCTGTCCCTTTTAACGTGGAAGGTAGCCCTATCGAAGCCAAACCACGGCACCAAGCGCATTTCCCGGGATAGCTATCACTGGGAAATGGGATAAGGAATGGACACCCTCCTCAGTTCCCCATCCTATGCCATGCCAAGTATTGAAAGGTGGAGTAAGGTGAATTTCAGACACCCTCCCACCCTTTTCACGTGGAACCTGATGTTCGGAAAGGTCATGGTTTGGACCATGTTCCTTTCAAAGGGACCGGGTCCCAAGCGTGAAAAGGGTGAGAGGGTACTTACAGGTTGGAAAGAGGTTGCAACAACCATGGTTATAACCCACTTGCCACGGTTAAAAGTCTCCGTTCAGTGGGTTGTCTCACCAGGCTTACTAGCCACTTACTAAGCTTGGTGGCTCCCAGCCATCCCCTTAGCTTTCTAGATCTTTTTTAGTGTTTGGTGGTTGGATGTCCATTTTACACACAACTTAGTCACTTTTAGATCGGATCAGAAAACGGACAGCCCAGTAAGTGCATGATCGCCCCTTCACGCGGGTATGGGTCAAACATTTTCACCACCAGGGGGTCATCCGCAGGTTTAAGTCATTTCCATTTTCCAGGGCAAGTTCCATTTTGGGGTTACCAACGATTTTTGACCGCAGCCGCGGTTTCTTGGGGTTTCAGATCGGCGGCAAGCCCTGGGCTCCCGTTTCCGAAGGACGCGCGCTTCGCGAGGCGTGGGGCGCAGGGAGTGCTGCTACGAGGAAAGGAACAGCGAGCTGGTGCGGGAGTACTACAGGTTCGTGCAGCTCGCATGTAGAGAACAGAGAAAGGAGGGGTATCTATTTTAGGGTTTTTCTCTCTCTCTCTCTCTCTCTTTTTTTCGGGGGGGGGGGGGGGGATTTTTTTTCGCTTTTGGCTTCTTGGCTTTTCGGCACATAGAGAAAACATGTCTTCCCGTGTTCAGGCGGTTTCCGAGATATTTCCCTCCTTAGTGATGTGGTTACGTGAATTTTGGGCTCATTTAGGATCGGTGTTGGAGCGTTGCCCCAAACCACCACATCTCTCGCGCAACTCGCGCAACCACATTCTTCCTAAAGCAACCCTCAAGGCACTGCTTACAGTAACCAGCAGCACACCCAACATAAATCTGCTCCAAGCCAACCCCAAATCCACCCAAAGTCAACCCCCCAAACCCGCCCAACAGCAGCCTGGATGTCACCCCTTCGCTTCGCCTAAATCAACCCCAAACCACCCCAAGACCCGCTCGCATGAGCCAATCCGAGCCAATAGGCAACCCCGGGCCAAGTGAGGCTGGTGACGCTGGGGATGTTGCCAGCCCCGAAAAAGAGCCCTAGGAACAACAAGCACCTCTACTGCATGGGCTTCACTTTTCAATCCAAAAGCAGTGTGCTTCCTATGACCTACTCGAATACGACCAAGTTAGTAACCTAATTAGTAATTTAAATTAGTGATTTACATTTAGAGTTAAACCCTGGTCCTTCCTCGCACAGGGTAGATGGGAGCTACTCGTTAACCACCAAACCACCAATCCAAACCACCAAATGGAGGGAAGCTGATAAGTTGTTGGTAACCTAGCTTATAATCTACTGAAGTCCCCCGTGAAAGTGGGCTTATCCCTTTCTCTTTTTTTTGGGGGGTGCGGGGGGGGGGGTGTGTGTGGAAACCCCCAAGTGGCGATCCCCACTTGCTAGTTTGGCGAATCGAGCCTCCAAGTAGTCATTGGTTTGGACTGGTTGGACATATGTTCTCATTTCTTCCCGGGCTTGCGCAAAATGCAGCTGTAGGATTCATGGGAAGCTGGATCAAATGAGAAGCCAGCCCCAGGACCGATTCGGCTCCACCGATTCGGCTCCAAACAGCCTTCGGAGTTCGGATCTTGTGATTTGGAACCCACACCACCACCTTTCAGAGTTGTTGCTTGGTTTCTTTATATCTGAGTGAATTCTAACGACCTCACACAACCTCATCCTTTCACCTTACCTTACATGGTGGTTTATGTGGTAAATAGGCCCCCAACCGCCTTATTTCAGGTTGGTGAAATGTTATAAACTATAATTCACCCATATATCATTTCAGTGAAACCTATCACAGGTGTTCGAACTTTTTCCGAGTCAACTCAGTAGGTCGGTTTTGGGATCAAACCAATCCAAGCCACATGACATGAGTGAGAGAGCAAGTTGCTTCTCACTATTGGATAATCCCCATAAATGGGTGCAGCCGCCGTTTTAATTATTTGCATGTTTTTGGGTAGACTATTTAATACTGGGTGTTGATTATGACTCACTTGGCCAGACCTCTTCCTGAGTTGGACTTTAGTCGCTTTCTTAGGGAGGTAGGGAGAGGTAGGGGAGGGGAGGGGAGGGGAGGGGAGGGGTGTGTTTGGTTTACTGAACACTTGATCTCCTGCATTGATATATCAACTTTTGATTTGGGGAAAGTCGGAAATCCAGCTCGCCCCCTGACTTTGTACTTGGGTTTGGACCATGAACTGCACAAGTTCCGATCGGACTTGTCTTGATTGCTATTGGATCTTTAGACTTTAACTTTCTGGTTGAAATCAACTTGGTTTTCCGTATTGAAGCCACAACAAGTGAACAACTGAGCCACAATCAAAACCCGGGTAGATGTAGGGTAGTAAGGGGCAGTCCCAGCCAGAAATCGTTGCGGATATCCGCCTTCTTAATTCTTGAAGCATGGTTCTGGGGATCGACGATTTTAATACCGGGTTTTGAGCAAGTGACTCAACTTGTTGCCGAGGAGTCCTTTGGCAACCAAGTTGTGCCAAGCAGAAGCGACCACAGCTGCGCCCGAAACCAACGAACCGCCGACCCTCGACGCGACGCGAAACGCGCCACGTGTCTCAAGGGCCAACCACTTCCGCGCGAACGGCTGGGCCTGCGCTGCCGGGAGCCTCGGGGAAAGGTTTGGGGAGCCTCGGTGGTTGATTGCGGTGAGGCGCCTCTTGGGGCGATAAGGGAATGACCCGGTTGAATGAACCGGTTTTGGTTGGAGTCCCGAACAAAGGAAACCATACGAACTGGATGGTGTATACGGGCTGGTTTCCTAATTTCTGCTGCGAACCAGCAAGTTGAGGCTCATAGGGGTTCAATCCACTAAAAGAAGGGTTGGGTTACTTTGGTGCATTTTGCTTGGATGTTAGGACTGAATCACTTTTTGCCAACTACTGGGTTTTCCGTATTAAACCACTAAAGTGTTCGTCACTTTTAGCAGGAAGGGCTTCGCAGATTTCGCAACAGAGGTTAATACAACCACCATTTTTTTTAGAAATTGGGAGCCTTCAAGGCTCAAACCAGCATGCTTTTAGCCCGGGACGAAAGAAACCAGCTAGTTTGTAGGTGACTTTTTTTCTGGCCAATCCACTCAGGAAGTGAGACCCACATGAAAACCAATGGGTTGGGTGAATAGAACCACCATTATTTTTCCTTCAGGAGTTTCATCATCCAAATTGGGTCAGGAGTTTCATCTTCCCTTCGGAAGTTGCTCAACGACTCAACATTTGCGCACGCAAGTCAGAACTTGGACGTTTCGTCCATGAAAGGCAGTCCCATACGGCCCCGAGTTGTCCCAGTTCACCTGTTTTCTTGACTGCTATTGGGTTGGATGTTTAGACTTTAACTTTTTGGGACATAAAGTTGTTTTCCACCAAATCCCCAACAAGTTGTCAACTTTTTGCAGGGGGGTCAACAGCAACCAAGTTTTGTCAAGAGCATTTTCAGGCATGGGGGTTGGAGGCATGGAGGTTCTGTGCCGCTTATTTGAGGGGGGCAAAAACGCCTTACAAGCCTAGATTCGTGGTAAGCTTCCATACCTCCAAACACCATACCTCTTGGTGGCTCCCAGCCATCCGGCTCCTTAGCTTTTTGGCATTTTAGTGTTCAGTGGTTGGATTTCCATTTAGCCTACTGAAGCTTAAACTTCGAGCGTGGGATCAGGAAACGCACAGCCCAGACCTGAAAATGCCGACTTGATTTTGCTGGGCTGGGAGGTTTCTTCCGGAAGGCTGTCCCCATATTTCACGTTTCGTTGTGTGGCCCTCCGATTTTTCTTTGGATGTTCGGCCAAGTCAGAAAGTGAGTACCTGGTGTCTCCTTGTGAGCCTTCAAACATGGGTCCATGACCCCTTTTATTTTGGGTAATTGCCCCATTTTGTAAGGGTCATGGCGACCCATGTAGCCACTTGGCTTATAACCCCCCAATACAAAGGTTGACCCCCACTTAGGGGAACTTATATGCGGGTTATATACCTAGGTTACCACCAACTTGCTAACTTGGCCGAACACCCAAGTCCTGAATTCAAAGATCACATCCCAATCACGCAGATAATATAACAGAGTGCACTCCCGGGTAAAGTTAGATGACTCAAGTCCCTTTGCAACACCTGGGTGAGTTCAGCTCAGCTGTGGATTCCGCCACCATTTCCCAGTTGCCCAAAGCAAACCGACCGGATCTGACCCAACAATGGGCTTTCTGTCTCGTCTTCACCCGGTTTCTGCCGGGTACACCCGGAGGGTTACCCGGCCAACACCGGGTGCGAAAAAGGCAATGGTGCGGTTCCTAGGTGCCCCAGTGCCCTTTTGCCTTTTTGGGTTCGGAGGGTTCCCCTAAAGTAGACGAAGCAGAAAAAAGTGGGTACCCTTATTCTAACCTCTCAAATCTGGGGGACCTAGGTTCCATAGTTCGTCTTTTGGTCCAAAGAAGGTGATTCGGCCAGCTCTGTTAGACCAATCGTCTCCGAGGCTTGGGACGACCCAGGCACAAAACTCGGAACCGCTCGTTTTGTTCCGACGTGTCGGTCGTGCGTGACGCAGAAATTTGGGCGCCTCGGAGTGGGTTTGGAGTTGGCGAGGCCATTTCGTGGCTTTAAAGAAAAGCCAAGAGAGCAAGCGCCACTTTGGGTTCCCCAAAAGAGGACACACCCACCAGTGGTTGGTTGAGGGGTTATTTCTGTATTAGGAGATGGTGTCCACTGTGATGCCTCCCTCATTTCATGAAGTATTTGGTCATGTCGATCCCTCTCAACTCCTGGCCACCTCTATAACCCACTTACCATGGATATACGTCTCCGTTCAGTGGGTTGTAACCAGGCTTGCTAGCCAGTACCCTGCCCCTTCAAGTAAGCCTCCAAAAGGTTGCTTTACTGGGTTTGAATCGCCCAATTGATCGCCAATGCCGACAGGTTGGTTTGCCATCTACAGCAAACCGGAGTGCCTTGGCTTGACCGCTCAATGCGCTTAGTGGGTAGCAACTGTCCTGTGACGCCATGGAACCGGAATGACGTTTCGGGGTGCTGGACGATCTTTTTTTGAAAGGGACCCTCTGGTGGGTTCCATGGCAATGTGGACAGGGTATGAGTTTTGGTTTCGGACAGCCAACACGCAGCTGTTTTTTTTCGTCTTAATCCTTCTGAAATGCGAAGGAGGCGACGAGCTTCGGCCTTCTCGGTTTCCAGTTGTGCATTGAGTTGGTATCAGGGCTGTGGGAAATGGAATCCACTGATGCAACAAGAAGTTCCGAAAGACTAACCCCCCAGCATGGTTGTTGTTGGGAAACATTTGAGATTTTTGCTTATTGCGGCTTAGTGGTTGAAATCCAAATCCACTTAACTGCTTTTGTTTTTCATTTTTTGCTCCCCTTCCAACGTCAACCAAGAAAGTATCACAGTGGTTGGCTGAACCTCCTGTGATCAAGCACTCTGAGTTGAGGACGTAACCCGCGAGGAACACGGGCCTCTGCTTCATTTAGAAAGCCCTTACCGGGGGATCCACGAAGGGGTCTGGGGCGCAAGGCAGTTTCAGTGCAGTTTTCTCTGTTGTTCAGTGGCCCCAATTTTTTTCCAACTTTTTTTTGGTGGCCGCCCCACGAAAAATGGTCCAAGCCCCAACAAAGGGTTCCAATTCTTTTTTTCCAGGGTCACTGAACAACTGAGCTTTGTGTTTGTTTGAAAACTCATGTTCGACCTTCCGAAGCCTCTGAACTTGCAGCCAAACATTCCTGCGCCAAGGGCCAAGACCACGGCGCTTGGGGTTGGGGATGGAGAGCCATCCTGTTCAAAGCCGACTTGGACTAGACATTTGTTTTGATTTTTGTTCAAAAGCGAACAAGCAGCTACCATACTTTTGTTTAAACAAAAGCAAGACAGACAACACAAAAAGGCGGCCCAGACCATTTTCGGGACTTTCAGGAACGGAAGGGAAACGGAACTCCCCCCTTGCCGCTACATTCGGCTCGCCGGCGGAGGTTCGGAATTCATCAGCACATGCTTTTGCCCTACTGATCCAAAGCGAGAGGCTATCGCGTATAGAGGGGAGCAGCTTTATGGCATCACTCATGGTAGATCAGGGCTCCT